GTGGACAGGTTTCAGCAGAGTTCCCCTACTAAGATAGACTTGGAAGAAGGAAAGGGGCCATCTACTTCTCAAAGAACTGGCCAAACTCACTCTCACTATCATTGAGTCAAGACCTACTTATAGTGACATCTCCTTGGGTTTCTGAGGTAGTACCTCTACAGAAGTAGATTGTCCAGTCTTTCTTCCAAGGAGTGGCTGGTGGATTTGAACTGCCAGCCTTCTGGTATCGGTCAAATGCCTTAGGCACTACACCACCAGAGTTTCCATATTAGGCATTAATGAGCTGAAATGTACTAGTATTGGCCATTTTGAATCAGACAATCATATGCTCTACTTTGCTCGGAAAGACAAACTAAAGAAAAACTACATCTCAATCATCATGGAAAAGAATGTTTCAAGATCTATCCTGGAGTACAGTGCTATCAGTGATAGGATAATATCTATATGTCTACAAGGCTACAAGAAAGACCAGTGAATACTATTATTATTCAAATTTACACAGCACCCACTAGAGCCAAAGATGAAGAAACTGAAGATTTTTACCAACCTCTGGAGTCTGAAATTGACCAAATATGCAATTAAGATGTATTGATTATTACTGATAATTGGAATGTAAAAGTTGGAAGCAAGACCAGTAGTTGGGAAATATGGCCTTGGTGATAGAAACAATGCTGGAGATCACATGATAGAATTTTGTAAGATGAATGATTTATTTGTTGCAAATACCCTTTTTCAACAACATAAACAGTAGCTATACACATGGACCTTGCCAGATCCAATACACAGGAATCAAATTGAGTACATCAATGGAAAGAGGTGATGGAGAAGCTCAGTATCCTCAGCCAAAACAAGACCAGAAGCTGACTGTGGAACCAGCCATTAATTACTCATAAGCAAGTTCAAGATGAAGCTGAAGAAAATTAAAACAAGTCCATGAGAGCCAAAGTATGATCAAGCATATCTCAACCGAATTGACAGACAATCTGAAGAATGAATTTAAAGCATTGAACAACAATGACACAAAACCAGACAAGTTGTGGGATAACATCAAGAACATCATAAATGAAGAAAGCAAAAGGTCATTAAAATGACAGGAAAGGAAAAAATAGATGCCAGAAGAGACTGAAACTTGCTCTTGAATGGAGAGTAGCAAAAGCAAGTGGAAGAAGTGACAAGATAAAAGAGCTGAACAGAAGATTTCTAAGAGCAGCTCAAGAAGACAAGGAAAATGATTATAATAAAATGTAAAAGATCTGGAGTTAGGCAACTGAAAGGGAGGAACACACTCAGCATCTCTCAAGCTTAAAGAATGGAAGAAAAAAATCAAGGCTTCAGTTGTAATATTGAAGTATTTTATGGGGAAAATATTGAATGATGCAGGAAGCACCAAAAGAAGATGGAAGGAATACACAGAGTCACTGCACAAAAAATAATTGGTTGATGTTCAGCTATTTCAGGATGTGGCAAGTGATAAAGAACTAATGGTATTAAAGGAAGAATTCCAAGCACCACTGAAGGAATTGGTGAAAAACAAGGCTCCAGGAATTAACAGAATACCCATTGAGATGTTTCAACCAATAGATGCAGCACTGGAGACACTTATTCATCTATGCCAAGTAAATTGAAAGACCTCTGCCTGGCCAACTGATTGGAGGGAATGGGTATTTGTGCCCATTCCAAAGAAAGGTGATCCAACAGAATGGGGAAATTATTGAACAATATCATTAATATCACATGCAAGTAAAATGCTGCTGAAAATAATTCAAAAACAGTTGCACCAGTATAGTGATAAAGAACTTCCAGAAATGCAAGCTGGATTCTGCAGAGGATGTGGAAAGAGGGATATCATTGCTGATGTCAGATGTATCTTGGCTGAAAGTGAAGAGTACCAGAAAGATGTTTACTTGTACCTTATTGACTATACAAAGGCATTTGACTATGCAGATCATATCATATCATAGATAACATTTTGAAGAATAGGAATTCCAGAACACTTAATTATGTTCATGAAGAGCCTGTACATAGACCAAGAAGCTGTTGTTCAAACAGAACAAGGAGATATTACATAGTTTAAATCAGGAAGGATATGTGTCTGAGCTATATCCTTTCACTATTTCATTCAATCTGTATGCTGAGCAAATAATCTGAAACGCTGGACTATATGAAGAACGCAGCATCAAGACTGGAAGAAGACTCATTAACAACCTGCAATATGCAGTTGACACAACCTTGCTTGCTGTAAGTGAAGAAGATTTGAAGCACTTACTGATGAAGATCAAAGATTAGAGTCTTCCGTATGGATTACACCTCAACATAAAGAAAACAAAAATCCTCACAACTGGACCAACAAGCAGAATCATGATAAATAGAGACAAGATTGAAGTTGCCAAAGATTTCATTTTCCTTGGACCAACAATCAGCCTGCAATGGAAGCAGCAGTCAGTAATCAGATGTCATGTTACACTGGGAAAATCTGCTGCATAAGATCTTTTAAAGGGTTAAGAAGCAAACATGTCCCTCTGAAGACTAAAGTGCACCTAACCCAAGTCATGGCATTTTCAGTTACCTCATAAGCATGTGAAAGCTGGACAGTGAATAAGGAGGACTGAAGAAGAGTAAATGCTTTTGAGTTGTGGTGTTGGCAAAGAATGCTGGAGGTACCCCGGATTGTCAGAAGAATGAACACATCTGTTCTGGAGGAAGTGCAGCCAGAGTGCTCTTTGGAAGCGAGAATGGCCAGACTTCGTCTCACCCAATTTGGTCATGTTGTCAGAAGGGACCATTCACTGGAGAAGGATATCATGTGTGGTAAAGTGGAAAATCAGCAAAAAAAGGGAAGACTCTCAACAAGAAGGACTAACACAGTGTCTGCAACCATGGACTCAAGCACAGCAAGGATTGTGAGAATGGTGCACGATCAGGCAGTGCTCCGTTCTGCCGTACACAAGTTCACTATGAGTCAGAGGCAATGTGAGGGCCCCTAAAAACAATGACAAAATACAAATATATACATTATGTGTGTGTGTGTGTGTATGTGTATGTATGTATATAACGTACATATGATATCATAACATATATATGATATCCTACTTTCTAAAGCACACAGATACATTCCTGATATTATGGTACTAATATCACTTGAAAATTGTTCAAATATTTTGTTTGATGTTCTGTATTCTTCTGGATGATGACATATAATGTTATAGTTTATCATTTTTGTTATTTTTTTTGGGGGGGCAACATAATAAGATATAATTCACCTAAAATAAATGGCACATATTTGACAAATAAAATTTATGAATTGCAATAGATCTTAACACCCATAAAAACAGCATTTCCATAATCAAGGTATTGAGAACATTTTCATTATGCCTAGATTTTCCTCTTTCCTCCATATTATCAAAAACTACCTCTTCTCCCAGGTAACCTCTGATCTGATGTTCAACTCTCACTCAACTCACTACCAGCAAGTCAAATCAGATTCATAGTGACCCCTCTCTGGGTTTTTGAGGCAGTATCTCTATGGAAGTAGATAGCCCAGTCTTCCTTCCAAGGAGTGGCTGGTGGATTTGAAACACCAGCCTTCTGGTTAGCAGTCAAATGCCTTAGGCACTACGTCACCAGAGTCCTTGATCTGTCACCACACTTTGGTGTATCTTTTCTAGAATTTTATTTAAATGGAACAATATTATGTGCACTTTTGTGTCCTGATTTTTTCACTCAATATATTTATTTTTAATTTATTCATCTTTTTGCACACATCAACAATTTGTTCTTTTTTATTGCTTGTAGTATTTCACTGTAAAAATATCCCACATTTCTGTTGCTCTTGTTCATTTACCTGTCAATTAGCATTTAAGGTGTTAAGCTTTGGGACTTTTACAAATAAAAGTGTTACCATCAATCATGTAAAAATTCTTGTAAGTACATACATTTTCATTTCTTTAGTGTAAATATCTAGGGTTGGAATATCTGGATTATGTGAGTGGTATATGTTTAACATTTTAAGAAACTTCCAAGGTATTTTCCAAAGTGACTCTAAAACCAGAAAAAAAAAAACAAACTCACTGCTGTTGGGTCATATCTGACTCATATTGACCCCTCCTTGGGTTTCCGAGACAGTATCACTACAGAAGTAGATTGCCCAGTCCTCCTTCTGAGGAATGGCTGGTGGGTTTGAACCGCCAGCCTTCTGGTTAGCAGTCAAATAAATGCCTTAGGCACTACACCACCAGAGCTCCCTGTATGAGGTAAGCATCCTGTTTATACATAAAGAAATTAAGGCTTTAGAAGACTAACCAAAATTATTACATACAGACATACACACACACACAGACAAACTTCAATCCTAGGTCATACCACTTATATCTTCCTGATATTCATTTTCCAGAGAAAACTCCCTAATGGAAAAGGATATTCAAGAAATAATCTCTTGGCCTAGCAACGTAGTCTGAAACAACCATTTACTTTTCATGTTTTATCTTTTAAAAATCATACGAATATTGTGTTCTATATAATGTTTGTAGAATTGATTGAATACCAAAATAAAGTTTTATATTGAAAAGTTTTGGAAATAGAAGACTATTGGCTCATAGTTTTTGTGTTTTTTTTAATACTTATTTGATTAAATGGGATATATAAAGAGACATTCTGGGAGAAGGAGGGTAACCTAGACACAAGTTGGGGACCATTTTCTTTGGGTTACAAAGCTAGGAAATACAAGCCTTCCAAATGATGTTCAAATGCAGTGATGGACTTTTTCCACAATCGGAGCCAGATCCAATCTGGATCTAACATAAACATAGAAGTGGTTTCACTGTCTTCTGCTATCCTGGAAATTAGACAGTTGATACCTTTCAAGACTTGACGGAGATATTACTCTCCTTAACACTGGAGACATGTCTGTTAGAAAATTACCCAAGGGAAAGTGATAGTCACAGGGTTAATATCTATACAAATCTGGTGTGCAGATTGATAACACTCTCCTCTTTCTGTTGCAGGAGCAGGAGAATCTGGAAAAAGTACTATTGTTAAACAAATGAAGTAGGTATACAGCAATTTTAAATGACTGTTCTTAAAATAAATACCTTTGGAAAAGCATATTGAGTGTTTCTTCTGAAGTGCTGGTAGTGGCAAAACTGCCACATTTTCTTTGCAAACATTCCTCTTCTCCTTTAGTACAAGGAATAACAGAGGAATAATATTTTAATTTCATTTTGCTTTTAGAGTTTTACTCTCAAAAAAATAACCAGTAAAAGCAGTTATGTTTTGAATATATTAATCTGGGAATGATCTATGGCTTTAATATTTTGCTGCATAAGCCATAAATATTTAAAAATATGTCAATAAATGATCATTCTGAATTGGTGAGAAAACTATATTTTTAACTTTATTGGCATTTTGCCTACCCAGGAATGAAGTGCACATATGAGTTTTTACTATCATGGATTTCAATTTATGTTTGCATTTATTGACTCAGCTTTGTTTTCTGTTTATAATAAAATAGGTAAACTTGAATTTCTTAATAAGGAACTAATGAACAAAAAACACTTTTTATAATTCCACAATATAATGTCTGAATTAATACAGTGGTGATTGATAAATGTAGGTAAATAGATGAAGTAGCATGGCTCTGTCTTTGCCAGAACATTTTAAAGAACAAGGTTTGCTATGAGAGAAAAAATAGTAATAGTTTTAGAGCCTTTTGTGTGTGTGTGTGTGTGTGTGTG